GAGTAAAAACCTCACTTCTTCGGATGCACCGAAGAAGTGAGGTTTTTACTCACGAAAGCTTATGCCCAAATAAATCTGTTAGTCTTTAAGGTGCCACCAGACTCCTTGTTGCCATTATAGCATAAGGATTCACATAACAAAACAAAAACCTGAAAATAAGCCTACAGTCCGGTAACTGTACAAGCCTCTTCATCATCTTTGCCTGATGAGGCAGTAGCAAGTATGACCATAGCCCCGATGCAAGATTATTACAAGGCTCACCAGGAGCTCTTGCGTCAGATGGCTCAGAACCTCAACCTCCCAGTAGAGGAGATAACGGAGTCAGCCTTGGCCTTGGTAGAGCTAAACAAGTAGAGAAGAAATACTTTGTACTCCACAAGGTATACGAATACCTGTACACTCATCCCACGTAGGGTTCCCTGGTTGTTGCTGCAGCCAACAAGAGGGAAAGGCAAGGGGAACAGGGACCGTCACCCAAGGCAAAATAGGCCAGGAAACTGGACCTTTTAGAGAAGAAAATATACTCCACGGGGGTTCTCCAGTTAAGAACCACCAGGCGCTGTTCAGTGGGTATGACTTTAATTCCTGGTCAGCCATGCAGAAGTTTAAGAAGCTCCTACCATCGGACTCTAGATCAGAGTTTGCTGCCATTGCAAACGAAGGCAAGGCCATAGCCAAGGCATCCCTCCAGGTGGTCTTAGATGTCGTGGATGCGGCAGCCCAGGCGATGGCCACAGGTGAGGTAACGAGATGAAGCTCCTGACTTCAGTCGTCTGGCCTATCCCATGAGGTCCAACAGAAAGTACAGGACCTACCATTCGAGGGACAGTCCCTCTTCTCAGAACAAATGGATGCCCGGCTTCATAGTCTAAAAGATTCGAGGGTGACGCTGAAGTCGTTGGGCCTTCACACTCCAGCCTCTCCCCTCCCCTCCCCTCCAGCCCCATCCCGGAAGCATTACAAACCTCAGCTCATGCGCCATTTTTACCCACCGCAGCACCAGCAGAGACAAGACTTTGGTCGACAAAGGAATAAAAGCTTCAGAAAGAGACAGAACCCTCGCTCCTCGTCAGCCTCAATGTCTGCGCCCACGAGACAACTAACGGGCAATAAGCAAAACTTTTGAAGGTGCGCCCAAGGACAGTGCACCAGTCCATAACCTGGATGTCACCCAGAGGTGAAAGTGGGCCCTGGGCCCTTTAAATCACTGCCAGAGCCCCGCCCAGCATGGGCCGGGCAGCACGGAAGGGCTAGCTGGGGGACGCTGACCCTCAGCCCTACCCCTTCTGCCCAAGGCCCTGCCCCTTTCAGGGGCCTGGTAAGTCTTTTATCTTACTTTCACTACTGATGTCACCTCTATGTTTGTGGACCGTTTGTCCAGCTTTTACTGGGCATGGGCCAACAGCACTTCTGACCGATGGGTTCTTCATATGGTAGAAGTGGGATATATCCTGCAGTTTATTTCTTCCCCTCCTTCCCACTTCCCCTCCCTGTCCCTCTTCAGGGACCCTTCTCACAAAGATCTCCTGACCCAGGAGGTGCAGTCAATCCTAACGGTGGGGGCAGTGGAGGAGGTTCCCATGAAGCTAAGAGGCCAAGGGTTTTACTCCCACTACTTCCTGATCCCAAAGTCCAATGGGGATTTCAGACCCATCCTAGACCTTCAGAACCTCAACAAGTTCATGAAGAAGCTGAAGTTCCGCATGGTCTCCCTAGCCTCGATTGTTCCTTCCTTAGATCCAGGGGACTGGTATGCCGCCCTCACCTTGAAGAATGTGTACATTCACATAGCCATCTTCCCAGGCCACAGAAAATACCTTCGATTTGTGGTAAACCAGAATCACTATCAGTTCACATTGCTGCCTTTTGGCCTGCCGACAGTCCTGAAAGTATTCATGAAACGCATGGCGGTGGTAGCAGCCTCCGTCAGGAAATGGGGAGTGAAGGTGTTCCCATACCTGGACGACTGGTTGGTCAGGGGTCAGTCCAAAGAACTAGTGGAAGGGCACATAGACTTCGTACAGTCCACTTTCAGGAACCTGGGTCTCCTGGACAACAAACACAAGTCCACCTTGTCATGGAGCGTGGGGGAGTCAGGGCCCTGCACCCTCACTTCCTGCGACTCATCATGACTCTCAGCCAGCCAGTAGAACAGAAGGTTTATTAGACGACAGGAACACAGTCCAAAACAGGGCTTGTAGGTACAACCAGGACCCCCCATCTGGGTCCCTCTGGGGGCAAGGAGTTAGACTCCTGGCTTGGGGTTCCCTGCCTCTTCCCAGCCAGCCCAAAACTGAAAAAAAAAACCAGCCGACTCACTCCCCTCTCCCCCGGCTCCTCCCTCTCTTTGTCCAGTTTCCCCTGAAAAGGTGTCACGCGACCCCCACCCCCCCCCGGCCTCAGTTTACAGGCTCAGGTACCATCCCTCACCTAAAGACATCCCCTGCTCTCCCATCCCCCATGCAGACAGTCCCAGTAAAACTAGACGACATTCCCAGGTCAATCTGCCCCGCTCCCTGCTCTGTCACACACCTTCATGCCCATTCAGAGGATAGACTTTATAGGAGCGGTTCTTGACTCAAATCAGGCAAGGGTCTCCCTGCCGGAGAACCGTTTCAGGGACATTGCAGCTCTCATAAATGGCCTGAAAGTGTACTCACCATCATGGCAAGGTGCTGCCTGAAGCTCCTGGAGCACATGGCCTCTTGCACTTATGTGGTGCAGCATAAATGACTCAGGCTGCAGCCTCTCCAATTATGACTGGCATTGGTATACATACCAGGTCATCACCCGCTAGACAAGGTCGTCATACTTCTGCTGGCATTAATCAGAGCCCTTCAATGGTGGCTGGACCAAGACACGGTCTGTGCGGCATTCACTTTGCAAAACCTGCACCCTCAATGGAGTTTTTGTTTTTGGTGATACAGAGTAACCCAGATACCACTCTGAAACTTTGTTGTGTGCTACCCTCTTGTTTTGATGTGTTGGGAGCTGGTAGCCTCTTTGGACCATTTTTATGTCACTGGGAGGCCACTAGCCGACGCTTGGACTCTGTGAATGGATACACACTAATGAAGGCTGTGAGGTGAAGCAGGGAGGGCTGGATGTGCTGCTGACCATGCTGGCGCATTTGGGGAGCTAGCCCTTGTCCCAGATGAGGCGTGCCCCTGGTTTGTGGGGCTTCCCCAGCACTATGCCCATGGGCTGCCTGTGTTACTGTGTCACGGTGCTGTAGCTCGGAGGGGCGAGGACTTGCGCCCTGGGTAGGGTTACCATACGTCCGGATTTTCCCGGACATGTCCGGGAAAATCGGGACGATGCGGGCGGCGGTGCTGGG